TTACCCTGCGCCTAGAAGAGTACTACTCTTTAATAATTTCTAAAGACTACCTTAAGCGCGTCTTCGAACCCCTAGAAGGTTACGAAGATCGTGGTGGTTTCTAGGTCCCTATCTAGCGTAGCGTTAGTTAGATAGTCCCTTATAATAGGTTCGAACTAGTCTAGGGCCGTGCCCCTAAGGCATGTTCTTATATAGAGAACCTTATTATAGTTATTATTAAATTAAGTAAGGAATAGTCGATAATAAGTCTTAAGTTAAGTAAGAAACCCCTAGAGTTTACCTCTAGCTCCGGTATACGGTCCTAGGTTCTTAGGCTTAATAATCTCCCCTAAGTCTCGGTATTACTAAGTATTAGCTATAGTATCGTATTACTTAGGTACTTAATACGGTAGTATACTAAATAAGAGCTATTAATATATAACGTTCGGGTTAGACTAGCTATAGGGTAGGTAGGTCTAAAGTCGGTTTATAAACTAAGTATACTAGGATATCGTTAACTTAAGCGGTCGGGTTATAGTCTATGTGCGAGATAGTAGATCTTACGTAGATAATTATATTAATAGCTAAGGAGCTAGGTAGAGACTAACTATAATAAAGCTAGGCTTCTTATATACTAAGTGAATATTATATAGTCGACAATAGTCGACTATTATCTACGAGCGCCTTTCTAGTATAGTCGACTATAGTCGCTAGCCGCTTATAGTTATTTACTATACGTAGTATATAGGTAGTGTATAATAAGAGAGAAAAAGTAAGGGGCACGTGAGAGGCGCATGCGGTCGTATATTAGGTCGTAACACTACGGGGTCGCTCTAGGATAGGTAAGGGTTTAAGTAAACCTTACTTAGCTTCCCTCTAGATATAATTACGACCGTAGGTATCGCACGCTACGATAAATCTACGTACTAGCTTTATTATATTAGGCTAGAAGAATTTCTTAGCTACCGCCTTATAAGTCGTATCTTGTCCTAGGTAGCTAATTAATAAGGCCTCGTGGATCTTTTATACTAACCGTCCGCGTAGCTTATCTATATCGTCCCCGCTATCTCTAGTAGCGCCCCTAGGAACCTAGATCTTATCTCGGAATAATAATCGCTAGTTAATATCGATCTAGTATTCGGCGATTTAGACCTTAAGGGATAGATAAGCGGGAAAGCGGCGTTCTCGTTACGATACCGCTTTATATACTATATAATAAACCTCGTCCTAGCGGACGGTTTTATCCTAGAGGTTTATTAAGGTATCGTTAGCGGGGAAGATATCTACCCCCTCGGGGGGTAGCGAAGAGCTAGCGTCCTCGTTACTTCCTAGCGTTCGTAAAAGCGGGTTATTATAAAGGGAGCTTATAAGGAATATTTCCCGGAAGTAGCCGAGCGTGCGAGGGTCGTCCTCCCTTAAGGGGATATCTTATTCCTAGTAACTTAGCGTATCGGGCGTAGCGGCTTCGTACCCCGGGCGGTAGCGTAACTAGAAGTTATACTCTTATAGCTCTATAACTTAGCGTACTTATCTCTTATTAAGCTACCGCTTCGTAAGGAAGTATATAAGGTTCTTATAATCCGTAAGGATCGTAAAGGACTTATAGCTTCTTAGTTCTACCCTCCACGCTCTTAAGCTATATATAATAGCTAGAAGCTCCTTATCGTGGATCTTATAATTATACTTAGCTAGCGATAGCTTCTTCGATATATAAGCGATAGCGTAGCGGTTCCCTTATAAGTCTAGCTAGGTTAATATCGCCCCCGTTACTTACCCTAACGAGTTAGTTTCTAGCTAAGTCTCTTATTTAGGGTCGAAGTACTATAATACCGGCGCTTTATAAAGCCTATATTTTAGCTCCGAGAACGCTATATCTTCTTCCTTTAATTAAACGAAAAGGACTCCCTTCCTCGTAAGGGCTATTAATAAGAGTGCTATATTAAAGAAGTAATTTTTAAAGCTACGGTAATAGTTTATAAAGCTTAAGAAGCTCTATACTCCCTTTACCGTAGTAGGAGTATCTTATTCGCGTATAGCTCGTAGCTTCTCCGGGTCGCACGATACCCCTTTCTCGGCCTCGATTACGTAGCCGAGGTAATTTACTTTCTTTATAATAAACGCGTACTTCTTAGGGTTAAGTAATAACTTAGTAGTAGCGAGCGCTTTAAGTACTCGCCGTACCTTCGTAAGGTAGTCGCTCTTTAACTTATTTAAATAAATTAAGATATCGTTAATATAAGCGGTTATAAAGTCCCCTAAGAACTCTCGGAGGACGCTATTAATCCGCCGTTAAAACATAGCGGGGGCGTTACTTAGCCCGAATAAGTAAATAGTTTATTTAAATAGCCTATACCTCGTTTAGAACGCGGTTTTCTCTTTATAACCCGGGGCTATCTTAATCTTATAGAAAGCGGCTATTATATTAAGTTTAGTAAACTACTTCGCTACGGCTAAGTTACGAAATATCTCTAAGATTAGTAAGAGAGGGTATCGGTCCCTTTTTATAATCGCGTTTAGGACTCGATAATTATAGTAGAACCGTAGTCCGCTACTTAGCTTCTTTACGAAGAATACCGGGGCCGAGGTAAGGGAGCTACTAGCTTATATAAATCCCTTATCGAGTAAGTCCCTAAGTACTTTTCGTAATACTAAGAGCTCTTCCCTCGATATCTCGTATAGCGGCCCCTAGGGTAGTATTACTTTATTTCCGCTACTATCCCGTATTAAGTATACTTCGTAGTTTATACCCGGTCGGTACGGGGGTAATTCTATTGCGTGGTCTAGGGAGAATAGCTTCGGGAAGTCCCGTAAGATCTCTACCGGCACGAACTCCCTAGGATCTACCGGCGGCTTCGGTACGAGGGCGTCCTTTATATCCTTTAACGAGATTTTACTAATAGCCGGGTCCCTAGGTTCGCGTCGGCGTTCCCGCCGGCATTCCGCGGCAAAGATACTCCCCGATACTAGCTTTATTACTCTTATAGCTTATACCCCACGGGGTTCTTATTCCCTTACTAAGCGGACCGCTAGCCTTACGCGGCCGTGCTAGAGCTACTTCTTCCCTGCGTTATAGCTAGTCTTATTACGTACTATCCACGGGTTGCCTAAGAATAAGTCTTAGCTAAGACCCGGTACTACGTAAGTAAAGACCTCCTCTTCGAAGCCGTAGATTTCTACCGTTAATATAGCGACTCCGTTACTTCTTCCTTACTTAATCTCCTTAGAGTATCCCCTTAAAGGGCGGGAATACTCTTTTACTAGCGGGAGGCTAAGTCTCGTTACTAAGTCTTCGCTTATAATTATATAGTAGTTATAGTCGGAGTTTATTAAGGCTTTCGTAGCGAGTACGCTATTTATCCGTACTTATATATTCGATAAAGAATTATTTAATAGACTCTTAAACCTTTTCTAACGAGTAATCTTAGCTCTCGTAGGCCCCGACGCCTAACTTCGCTTTAGGGCTATGCTTTTCCCGCCGTAATATCTTATTCTTCGTTATCTTCGCTATCGCTATAAGTCTTTTACGAGACCTCGGCGACTCTTAGAGATAGGCACTCTTATTTAATATAGCCTTCTTAGCTATAGGACTAGCACGTAGTTAGCTTCCGCGACTATCCTTCGGAGGCGCGGCTACCTCGCTATAATAGGCGGTTAATATTATTTATTCGGACGTCGCTATCGCTATCCCTAGGAGTATACGCGTGGTTTATCTCGGGTACGGCCCTCCTACGGGAAAGTTATATCCTCGCTCCCTTATTAGCACTCTTAAGCTTCTATATAACCCCTTGCACCCTAGTAACTTATACGCTATAGTTATTAAGAAAGTCTACGGGGACGAGTATAATATAGAGTCGCTAGTTTATCGCACCCGATAAGAAAGCGAGGCGGGCGCTATCGGTCTAGAGGCCGCCGCCGGCTTCCGCTAGAATACGCTCGAACTTAGGTAAGAAGGCCGCGAAGGACTATATCTCGCTTTACTTAAGGTTATATAAGGTCTCCGTAGCGCGTATACTCTAGTTCGGGTCCGCGTAGTACCGATCGAGGTAAGCTAGGAAGGAGTAAGGGTTCTAATTAGCCTATACTTTAGCCTTATAATAAGCCTAGACGATACGCTACGCGTTTATATCTAGGTAGCTATTAATAAGGTATTAGCGTTCTCGCTACGAGTCGAAATACTCTTAGTCTAGCTCGAGCTTGTTTTTTATTTATACTTATTGAAAATAGGGGACTAATCCCCTAATTAGGTGCCTTACGAGGCCCTCTTACAGAACCCTTACAGGGGTCCACAGTGCTTACAAATATAGTGCTTCTATTGCCTTCTATAATATTCGAAGGCTAGCACTGCTACACTCGCTATTATAAATTAAACCTTCTATAACCTTCTACTAGGTTCGGTTTAACCCACTCTTTTACAGGGCATTACAGCGCCCTCACGCCTATAAATATAGGCCTCCGTTCACTACTAGATAGTTCTAAATTAAGTCATTCATTCACTAAGTTCTTCACCTATATCTTGCCTACCCTAAAGAGAAGATTGCTGAATCGGTCGCTTTCTTCCTTTATTAAAGGGATTCCCGGATTATCGCGATTCACTTACCCTGCGCCTAGAAGAGTACTACTCTTTAATAATTATAAATAAAATTATTATAGATTTAATTATAAGTATTATTTTTAAAGGTCTTAATAGCCTTATTATTCGCTTAAGGCGCGGTATTATATAATAGGCTAGTAATTATTAACTTAGTAACTACCTTATTTAGTTAAGCTATATATTCAGCCTATAGCTACCCTTAAAAAGTGATATCTCCGCGTTATCACGTTCTTGTTTCTTTTCTTAGTATTAGTATCTTCTTTAGATAGTGAATATTTACTCTCGCTGTTTTAATTTATTACGTATTCCTCATTATAGTTATTATCTTACGGCATCATTCGTTCTTATACGCTGCGGTGCTGCGTTGGCTCACGGCGGAAGCCCTTCGCAGGCTCCCTCACCCCTGGCGGGAGTCCTAATTACTCACGAATGACTCATTGAATAACGATTAGAGGTAGGACGTATATTCAGAAACAGGCTCCTGCCGTCAAGGTACTCATAAAGTAGGATAGTACCTCAGACAAAGGGAAAGGCAACTAACTATAGTATACTGCTAACATGCCTAAGCTTCCATAGTGGCTCTTTCCTCCATGATGTAGACTTCGAATTCTTCAGGGACATCCGAGGAGAGGCCGCCGGAGGCAGCAATTTCGACACTAAAGACAGAAACGTTAGTGGATGCAAAGTCTCTCATATCAGTTACGGCAGAGGCGTGAAGGGTGCGGGACTCTGGAGTGCAGGTGATTTGTTTTTTTTGGAGGGGGGGGGGGGGGGGGGGGGGGGGGGGGGGGGGACGGGGGGGGGGGGGGGGGGGGGGGTGGGGGGGGGGTGGGGGGGGGGGGGGGGGGGGGGGGGGGGGGGGGGTGGGGGGGGCGCGCGAGCAAAGAGGGGGGGGGGGGGGGGGGGG